CTCCCCTGATCACCATACAAAAACAGGACTATTGCATGTCACGGCACAAAGCAAACTGCTTACTCAGCAATTCACAACTCCCATGAAACTAAAGCTGGAGAGCTTGTTTTTCTCATACTGATAAGCTAAGTATTATGTTGGGATAAGTAGCAAGAATGCAGATTTTTTTTTAAAGCAGAGGAGACATTTGGCATTATCATCACCTTTTAACACAGGCAAATGGTCAAAACAAAAAAGTGGGAAGGGCTAGGGCAAGAATTTAACTTTAAAGCAGACATGGTTTTTTTTTTTATGACAACTCTCGAAGAATGTTTTCCTCACATGATGTTTGAATTTTAATTTAGGAACAATGTAAAAGGGGGGCCAGGTGGGAATCAGATTCAGCATCTGTATAGCTCTGTTAGCATACAGGGAAATTACATTTTTCTTCACCTTAGACAGATTTATCTAAAGTTCATCCTTCCATTTTTAAATAATGAAACTGAGTCCCCATCACGTGATTGCTTTAATTCCTAGGACAGATATTTCAGATGAGAAAAATCCCTATTATAGGAAACATATTAAGGTAGTCCTTGACTTGTAACAGTTCATTTAGTGACTGAAAAAAGAAATTTATGACTGTGTTTACACTTATGACTGTTGCAGCATCCCTAGTCACAAGATCAAAATTCAGGCACTTTGCAATTGACTCATATTTATGACGGACGCAGTGTCCTGGCGTCATGTGATCACCTTTTGCAACCTTCTAAGAAGGAATGTAAATGGGGAAGCCAGATTCACTTAACAACCATGTAACTATTTTAACAGAGATAATCCACTTTACAAGTGTGGCAAGAAAGATAGTAAAATGGGACAAAATTCATTTAACAAATGTCTTAGTTAGCAAAAGAAATTTTGGGTTCAATTGTGGTTGTAACTCGAGGGCTACCTATAATTTTACAATATTTTCAGGTGGAGGGAAGAGAAGAATGAATCAGAAACCCTACCTTCTCTCAACCAGAAGTTCTAGCTAAATTATTATTATTGTTAAAACATTCTACTGTCCATAGGGTATATCCTGCACTTGGAACTAATTCATGGAACCCCTTAATAAAGAGTTACTCCTAAGTGAAAAGGATAGGAGATATTTCTTTCTTGGAAGAAAAATTAAAATAGATATAACATGCAAACATACACTCCAGTGAACGAAAATAAGATAGGTGGGAGATTACCTATTCTTATTTTGAATACAAAAGCCACATATTGTCTCTACACTGTCTCAAAATGGACAGAAGGTGAACAGGGTTTCCACCATCAAGAAAATATGAATTATGTTTCAAAGAAAAATTCTATGTAAATAGATAATTTGCTACATAACCAATATGAAAAACAAAGCCACTGAATAACAGCAATTCTAGTCCAGATAAACATCAAGGATTATTGTTTGGAGCCTTCCTGTGGATCCCTCTCTGAAAATATTCACAGAACATAAAAAGCAAAGATTGCAGTAAACAATGAAATGGTCATTTTTATGGGGTAAGAAAAAAAACCCCAAAGCACACCTTCTCTATTAAAGGGCTGTTTCCTATTACCGTATTTCCCCCAAAATAAGACCCCGTCTTGTATTTTTTTGAACCCTAAAATAAGCACTTGGCCTTATTGCCATGCGCTCAAAAGCCCGATTGGGCTTATTATCAGGGGATGTCTTATTTTGGGGAAAACAGGGTAATGCCACCAATCTCAGCACCCTTATGAGGTCCAATCTATGAACATACTTCCAACACTAAAGTTAAAAAAGCACCAGTCCTTCTTTACAGGTAGTTCCATAGACTACTACTTTACAGGTAGACCATAATTGTGCCCAAAATTTCCATTGTAAATAAGTAAGGTAGTTGTGAAGTGACTTTCGCCCCATTTTATATCTTGTTTGCAGCAGTTAAAGGAATCAGTGTAGTTGTTAAGTGAATCATTAAGCTTCCTCCATTGACTTTGCTTGTCGGAATCTGGCGGGGAAGGTAACAAATGGTAATCGTATGACCCCAAACAGTGCAACTGTCATAAATACAATACATGCCAGTTGCCAAGCATCCAAATTTTGATCATGTGACTATAAGAGCGCTGCAATGGTCACAAATGTGAAAACTGGTCATAAGTTACTTTTTTTTCAGTGTAACTATGAATGGTCACTAAACAAATAACCAAGGACTATCTGCATTATAACAGCTTAAACTTACCAGAACAATTCAAAAACACATTACACACCATAGTGCATTATAAAAAAATACAAATAATAAAAACAAGGCAAATTCCAAAGCAATGACATTACAGTATTTCATGTCTGGGATGGGCAGGAAGGTTGTAAATTAGCCCTTTAGGATGCTGCAAGGCATATCCACAGCTCCTAAATTGGCCTTCCCGGACCATTGCCCTCCAGATTTCGTTGTATAGATGATGTACAATGACAATAAAGGCTATACTATACAGATACGTTGAGTAATGATTCTTAAAAATAGTAGTTGGGCAGAAATCACAAAACCTGAGAAATCAGGACATTTGGGGGGGGGTGTTTTTCCGGAACGCCATCACTCTGCTAAACAAATAATTCCTCAACACTGTCAAACTATTTACTAAGTCTGCACTACTATTAATCTTGTCATTGTTCCTATCACCCATCTCCTCCCACTTATGATTGTAAGGCTGTTGCTGGTATCCTTACGATTTATATTGACTGTTTCCTAATATGATTTGATTGCTTATTTGTACCCTATGACTATCATTAAGTGTTGTACCTTATGATTCTTGACAAATATATCTTTTCTTTTATGTACACTGAGAGCATATGCACCAAGACAAATTCCTTGTGTGTCCTATCATATTTGGCCAAAAAAGAATTCTATTTTATTCTATATAGACACAAATCTCAATTTTTTCAATAAAGCATAAAGAATGAAATGAGAGCAGTTTTCTGGAAGAAGTTTTCATGAGGTCACCTACTGAGGAAGGGTATCAAAGTTGGTCAACTTTATAAGTGGGGATAAACTTTTGAAGAGTCAATAAAATTGGATATACAGTCCTCAACTTATGTCCACAACTGAGCCCCTTATTATTAGTAGTAATATTTTTAACACTATTGTAAACAGATAATTTTGTCTATTGCTGGTCTGTGACCATAATAAAGTTTATTATTATGTCCACAACTGAGCCCAAAATTTTCATTACAAAATTGAGACGTTTGTTAAGTGAGTTTTGCTCCATTTTACAACCTTTCTTGCAACAGTGCCTGAATGTAGATGTTAAGTGAATCTGGCTTCCCCACTGGGAAGGTGATCACATGACCCTTGCACACTGCAACTGTCATAAGCTCTGAATTTTGCCAAGCATCTGAAGTTTGATCATGTGATCATAGGGATGCTTCAACGGTTGTGTGAAAAATGGCCAAAGTAACTTTTTTTCAGTACTGTTGTGTACTGAACGGTCCATAAACAAACCGTCCATACACGAACTGTTGGGAGTCGAGGACTACCTGTATTTGTAGCTCAGGATTGAAATGAATCTCCTCACTTTTGAGGAGGAGTGGAGTGGAGTGGAGCGAAAAAGTCCAAAGAGATGTAATAATGAAATAGTTGGGTGAGATATAGGCAGAAGAGAAAGAGAGATCCCTGGGAAGCAAACTGAAAAGCAAAGGGGAGTAATCATGCAGCAATGGGCTGGGACCAAGCCAATTATTCTGATGGGTGAAAATCATTTTTCAGAACAGGGAACAAGAGGTATGTCCAAGGGGGGCAATCCCACTGCAAAGAAACCCAGAAAGAAAACAAAATTCCACCAAAGGCTGAAAGGTCCCAAGGCGACTTTAAAAAACAACACATGTGGATGGGAGCAGCTCTCAGGTGCAATTCCTAAAAAAAAAGAGGGGGTGCAAAGACAAGCAAAGGCATAGATTACATCAGTGTCATTTTCCAGGAACAGGGAAAACAAGAGAATTCAAGGAAAAAGGATTCTTGGTAGAAAATCACATGAATTGACAGAACTGGGTGCAAGATAAACAAGGCCCATATTTGGGGGAGGAGGCATCTTTCAAATTTTTATATGCAATTTAAAAAAAGCTGCCCATGCAACCACCAGGAATTGGAGGGGTCCAATTCTTTACAGGAGGGGTGCAAACAAACAGGGTGAGAGAACCAAAGAGATGGGAAGAGATATAATTCTCCCCAGAAGGGGTGCAAAGCCAGGGAGGGGACTAACCAATTCTTGAGGGGGGTTGCAAACAAATGGGGTGGGGAGAACCAAGGAGATGGGAGGGGGGTGCAAGGCGGGGGGGGGGGGCGAGCCAATTCGGGGGGGGGATGCAAAAAAACGGGGGGGGGGGAAACCAAGGAGATAGGAGGGGGTGTAATTCTCCCCCAAAAATGATGCAAAGCTGTGGAAGGGGAAGGCTAACTAATTCTTCATAAGAGGGTTGCAAACAAACGGGGTGGGGGGTAACAAATGAAATGGGAGGGGGGTGCCAAGCGGGGAGGGGGCCTAGCCAATTCTTTGGGGGGAAGTGTAAACAAACGGGGTGGGGGGGGAAAGCAAAGAGATGGGACGGGGGTGCAATTCTCCCCAAAAAAGGGGTGCAAAGCTGGCGAAGGGGATGGGGTAACCAATTCTTGAGGGGGGGTTGCAAACAAAGGGGGGGGGGGGAACCAAGGGGATGGGAAGGAGATGCAATTCTCCCCAGAAAGGGTGCAAAAAGAAAAAAGGTGCAGAAAGGGGTGGGGGTTGTCAGCAGACGGGGTGGCTCTTGCAAGTCTGGGGGCGATGATGATGGTGGTGGTTTGGGGAAAGTTGGGGTTGCAAAAGAGAACAGAGGCCCTGGGGAGAAGACGCCCCCCCCTTGTCTAAAAGGAGGGAGGGTGCAATTACAGCGTGTGTGTCCTCCCCCCCCCCCCCCCCCCCCACGGAGTCTCATCCCAGCCCGGAGAGGCGACGAGGGGAAGGGAAGGGAGAGTCGGGGCCTCCTTCCTCCTCCTCCTCACCTTGTAATAGACGTCGAACTGGATGTTTTCGGGCAAGGAGCGGATGTCCCTCCGGCGGGCCCGGCCGTAGCTGTCGACCACGGCCGAGATGGCGGTGTTGTAGAGCGTCTCGGGCACCCACTCCAGCTCCCCCGCCGCCATCTTGCCTGGCTCGGGCGGCCGCCCTGAACCAGGAGGCGGGCGGGCAAGACAGGCAGGCCTCGACCGCCTTCAACGCTCGGGCCTAGAAGTCGCTCCGCCCCGCTGCCGCCGCCGCCGCCGCGGCTCTCCTTCTTGCTCGCTTTTCCCTCACCCGCCCGGGCTGAGGCGACGCGGGAACCGCTGGGGGCGCCCTCACGGAGGAGGGGAAAAAAAAAAAGAGGAGGAGCGGGAGGAGGAGGAGGAGGAGGAGGAGGAACGAGGCCAGCCGCCGCGGCCTGGCTGGCAGGGACCCGCCGCCCGCGTGAGGGGCGAGTCCGCGCCGCACTTCTTTTTTTTTTTTCCCCTCCCCCCCTCAAAGCGCGCAGTTCCTCCCGCCTGAGGTAAAGCCGCGGGGGGCCGGCCTCGCCCGGCGCGCGCAGGCCGCGGCGGCGCGGGAGGGGGGGGAGGAAGGGAGGCTAGGTGGGCGGGGTTCATAGAGGGCCCTCTAATGGGCGGGGCGACCGTCCCCCCAATCCCCATTTGACGCGCACGCGGGCGCGCGGCCTCAGAGACGATGGCCCCGCCCCCGCCCCCCCAGGCAGGCAGGGGAAGGAAGGAGGGAGGGCGCGCGCGACCCCCTCAAGTTAGCTGAGGGAAGGAGGGAGGGGGAGGAGTGAGAAAGGCTGCCGTTAGAACACACACACACACACACACACACACACACACACACACACACACACACACCGCATCCCTCAGGGCTTTGGGGATTGTCGGTCATCCTTTGAGGGCAGGCTAAAAGGGGTGGGGGTGGTTGGTAAGGTTGGGGTTCGGGTTGGAGTGGGGGGGGCATAGAATTAGAATAGAATAGAATAGAATAGAATAGAATAGAATAGAATAGAATAGAATAGAAGTTGTGGGAGGTTCACATCGCTGGAAGCTTTCAAGAAGAAACTGGACTGCCCTTTTGTCAAAAGGGCTAGATGACCGACAGGGTCCCTTCCAACTCTTGTTAATCTGTCTGACAAGAGAATTGAACGGAATAGAATAGAATCTTTACTGAGGATAGAATAGAATAGAACATTGAGAATAGAATAGAATAGAATATTGAGAATAGAATAGAATAGAATCTTTATTGAGAATAGAATAGAAGAATAGAATTATTTATTTATTTATTTATGAGACTTACATGCTGCCCTATGTCCAGCCGGACTCAGGGCGGCTCACAACAGTTAAGAAACATCTAATAACAAGTTAAAAAATTAAATCCAAATCTCATATTCAGAATAGAATAGAATAGAAGAATAGAATAGAATATTGAAAATAGAATAGAATAGAATAGAAGAATAGAATAGAATAGAATCTTTATTGAGAATAGAATAGAATCTTTATTGAGAATAGAATAGAATAGAATCTTTATTGAGAATAGAATAGAAGAATAGAATACAATAGAACAGAATAAAATCTGTACCGAGAATAGAATAGAATAGAATCTTTACTGAGAATAGAATAGAATATTGAGACTAGAATAGAAGAATAGAATAGAATCTTTATTGAGACTAAAATAGAATAGAACAGAATAAAATCTTTACCGAGAATAGAATAGAATAGAATCTTTACTGAGAATAGAAGAATAGAATAGAATCTTTACTGAGAATAGAATAGAATAGAATATGGGAGCTTCATCACTGGGCGTTTTCAAGAAGAGACTAGACTGCCATCTGTCAGAAATGGTCACATTGCATTTTGGGGATTGTGGCACGCGCACGTGCATTCATGCGTGTGGACACATGCTTTGGGCACTCGGCACCAAAAAGGTTAACCATCACTGGTGTAGGCTGTAGGGACTCCTGCTGGGGGTTGGATTAGATGACCTACAAGGTCCCTTCTAACTAAGCCGGTCTCTCTTGATTTTATGATTTTATGGTTGGTTTTAAATTTTGATATGGATTTTAAATTGATAAATTTTAAACTATGGGCCAAATTTAATTATTTTAAATCTATTTTTAATCGTATTTATGTATAAATGTTTTTTATTTTGGCTGTTCACCGCCCTGAGTCCGAAAGGAGAAGGGCGGTATAGAAATTCGAATAATAAATAAAATAAAATAAAATAAATAATAACTGTTAATCTGTCTGTTAAGAGAAGAGGAGAGAAATAGAATAGAATAGAAACTTTATTGTCACTTTGAACGTACACTAATCAGCATACATCAAAATGAAATTTCATTGCATACACCTCTCAAAGGGTCACCATCTCCAATATATACTGCATAAACACGACAATAAATAAATACAGAATTATGCATATACCCACATATATTATTATATGACACAGAGAAGCAACACAGTCTAGTTTGGATGTATACATGTACATGGCGAGAAAAACGAATCTTGCGAGTTTAATGGATGGATTATATGTGTTTCAGGCTTGTCTGAAAGCCGAACTGGTCCTAAATGGATGCGGGTTGGAAAGAGAGGGTGTGGTCTTAGCATCTTTGTTTGGGGGGGGTGGGAATTAAAAGCTCCAGCTGTCTATGGAGCTTCTCAATCATCCAGGTCATGGTTGTCCCAAAGGTGCTTTTTTGTTTTCCAAGAGGCAACTGGACTTTCTGGTTTTTCTTTGAAGACATTTCGCTTCTCATCCAAGAAGCTTCTTCAGCTCTGACTCCAGAATTCGCTCCAGCTGATTCGGACTGCATGTACCATTTTGATCCTGCATCCTTGTTGAGCAAGGTTTTGTGTTAATGTGTCATGTTCTTATAAACATGGCTACAGCGTTGAATAGATCTGTCTCTAAGGATTTTAGCTTCAGGTGCCCATTCTGTAAATCATTTCCTATGACTAAAGTGCCATTGGGCATAGCACGGCTTAGTGAATATCAGGAAGAGAATTGGTCTAATTAGTGGGTTTGTACAGTTATAATATTTGATAATACAGGAGTCAGGTTTACAAGTTACAAACAGATTTAAAAATGGTAAAAGCTTAATGATTTCCACTATTTATTTTATTTTATTTTTGGCACTGCATACAAGTGGTCAGGCATAGCCAGCAAATCTGGCAAAAAAAATAAAAAATCACCAGAGTGGACCGTTTCTGAGAAAATACTGTTTTCAGTTGTCTGAATCATTTAATTATATTGTCTGACTCGGCTCAAGGCAGGTCACAGTCAATAAAAAAATAAAGCAGGCAATGAAAAAAAAAAACACATAGTCCTTGACTTACAACAGTTCATTTAGTGACTGAAGTTACAACGTCGCTATTAATAGTGACCTTGGGACACAGCAACGGTCATAAGTATGAGCCAATTGCCAAGCATCTGAACTTCGATCACATGATCATGGGGATACGGCAAAGGTTGTAACTGAAAAACGGTCATAAGCCACATTTTTGTACCTTTGAACAGTCACTAAACGAACGGTTGTAAGTTGAGGACTACCTGTATTTACGATAGTTGCAACATCCCTGGGTCACACGGTCACCATTTGTGATCTTCCCAGCCAACTTCCGACAAGCAAAATTAATGGGGGGTACTGGACTCGCTTAACAATCCCATGATTCAGTTAATGGCAATGATTCACTTAACAACCAAATGGCAAAAGAAGTCATACGGGTAGTCCTCGACTTACAACCATTCGTTTATTGACCGTTTGAAGTTCCAACAGCGCTGAAGAAAAGAAACAACCATTGCGACAGGTCACACAGCCATGTGATCAAAATTCAGACGGTTGCAAACTGCCCTGTCTTTATTCTCCGTTAATGTTTTTATTGAGTTATAAAATATTACGCAATGCAAAATACAAAAGTAAATAGGAAAGCAGTGGAGAGGAAGAGGGGGAAGGAGAAGTGAGGAAGGATAAGAAAAAAAAAAAGTAGCATTGATTTCCTACTCTCTCTGTTATAGTAAAATAAGGTATTAACCCAGTGGTGAAATCCAATTTTTTTTACTACCGGTTCTCTGGGCGTGGCTTGGCTTGGTGGGTGTGGCAGGGGAAGGATACTGCAAAATCCCCATTCCCTCCCCACTCCTGGGGGAAGGATACTGCAAAATCCCCATTCCCCATAGATAATAGTCCCCTCTTTATGCAACTGGCATGTCTTTACAATGGCTGCACTGCTCTGGGCTCATATTATCATTTGTAACCTTCCAAGTTGGTTTTTGACCTGCAAAGTCAATTTTCTCAGCCAGATTCACTTAATGACTGTGTAACTCCCTTAACGACTGCAGTGTTTGCTTAACAAGGGTGGCATAAAAAATAGTAAAAATGGGGCGAAACTTAGGTAACCAATCACAATGTAAATGTTGAGCTCAATTGTGGCCTGTAAAATTGGGTGCGATTCATTTAACAACCGCCTTTGCTTAGCAATGGAAATTCCGGTCCCAATTGTGGTCGTAAATCGAGGATTACCTGTACCGTACCAGCTTTTGTGGATTACATTCCACATATTCATGGAATTATTGCTTCGGGAAAGGATGTGCCCACGCTGGAGTCAGGCGTGTATACATTGCGGGAGATACAGACAGTGATAGCTTTCCAACAGTAATGGCAATTTACATAATTGTTGGGTGTGTGATGTAGATGTGTATCTGGAGAATTGATTAGCCAATGTAAGATTCTGGAGGTAAAAAGGGTGTTAATTAGTTCTGCTGTGATGAAATGGGTTTTAGGAGCAAAGCACCCGAAGGCCAGACAAGGAACAATGGATGGAAACTGATCACGGAGAAATTCAACCTGGAAATAAGGAGAAATTTTCTGACAGTGAGAAACAATCAACCCATGGAACAGAAGTTGCCTTCGGAAGTTGTGGGAGCTTCATCACTGGAGGCTTTCATGAAGAGACTGGACTTCCGTCTGTCAGAAATGGTGTAGGATCTCCTGCTTGGGTGGGGGGGTTGGACTAGATGACCTACAAGGTCCCTTCCAACTCTCTGTTAATCTGTTAACAAATTGGGGATCCTGCTCATTTACAGGTAGTCCTCGACTTAACGATCACAATTGAGCCCAAAAGCTCTCTCCCTAAGCGAGGCAGTTGTTAAATGAGTTTTCCCCCATTTTATGACCTTTCTTGCCACAGCTGTTAAGTAAATCACTGCAGTTGTTGTTAGTAGCATTGCTACTGGCCGTCGACCAGGGGTGGGATCCAGGGGTGAAATCCAATTTTTTTTACTACCGGTTCTGTGGGCGTGGCTTGGTGGGCATGGTGTGGCTTGGTGGGCGTCGCTTGGGTGTGGCAGGGGAAGGATACTGCAAAATCCCCATTCCCACCCCACTCCTGGGGGGAAGGATATTGCAAAATCTCCATTCCCACCCCACTCTGGGGCCAG